CAAACCAACCTTTTTTCTTTTAACTTTTAATTTTCATCAATTTCTTTTTTTTCCTGGGGGGCGGGGGGTTACCGGGGATTGAACTCAGGGTGCTTAACCACTGAGCCACATCCCCAGCCCTTTTTATATTTTATTTAGAGACAGGGTCTCACTGAGTTGCTTAGTGCCTTGCTCAATTGCTGAGGCTGGCTTTGAACTCACAATCCTCCTCCTGTCTCAACCTCCTTAGCTGCTGGGATTACAGATGTGCGCCACTGTGCCTGACATCAATTTAAACTTATAGAAAAGTTACAGGAATACGGTGAATAATTCCTGTATATTCTTCATCCCAACAACCCAATTTACTTTAACCTGGGGCTCTACACCTGGTAGGCAAGTGCTCTATCACTTGAGTTGCCCCAAAGGTTTTATTTAAATGTCGATACTTCTAGTTTCATTAGAAATGACATCCTTTGGGTTGGGGATAGAAGTCAAGGGTGGAGTTCTGGCCTAGCATGCCCAAGGCCCTGGATTTGATCTTCAACACTGCAAAAACAACACATTTTTTAAAACGACAATTTTTAAAAATGCATCTTTTGCAAATATTTAAGCCTACAATAAGAAAATTTTAGATGTCAAATGAAAATTGTGTGAGGGGTGTTAAAGAAAAATGATACAAAACACTGCTTGAAGATGCTAGGGCAGACCCTTCAAGGGGGCCACTACCACTGCGGGTGTGTAAACAGTGGATTTTGCGGTGGGGCAGAGACATTGGGGTCAACTCTGGACACAGCACGGGCAAGTAGCTCTAGATAGCTGAGGGGCAGGGTGGGGGTCAGTGGGTGGAAAATTACTAAAAGGAAATATCAGGGGTGAGGGGGACTTTGGCTACACTGACCTAAAAGAATTTTTTTTGACAAAATGCCAAGGTGATCAGACATCACCTGACGGGTATTGGGAGATATGACGAACCCATCAGATACGGAGGGTGAGCAGTTATCAAGGATGGAGGATCCCTGTTTAACTGATTTGCCAAGTTCTGCTTGCTGAAATTGCACTTTATAAATAAGTGCACAGGCGGATCTTAAGAGGAGGTTCAGGAGCTTAACTAAAGTTTGGCCAAGCAAAGAATTTTTGTCAGGGATGCATAGTTTTACCTAATTATTTTAGGGACTGTGTGAACAAAATTTTGAAGACCACTCTAATAAAAGAATAGAACTAAAACATTAGGAAAGAGAAAGAAAAAATGAGAGTGAGAGACAGAGAACAACAAAAAATTGTTCTAGAAAATAAAGGGAAAGCACAAGGCTCCTAGCAGGTGACATAAAGAGGCAGGAGTGAGAGGGCGAGGTGGACTGGGCAGGGAGGGCGAGTGCCTTGTAGGAGGGAAGAAGGAAAGGAGAGGGAAGGGGGAGGGAGACCATGCCATCCTAGGACACACCAGGCCTGAAGAACAACCTTGCCTGCCCCTGACAGCTTCAACCACAGGGACTTTTCCTTAGCTACCCCTAGCAATGGCCAACCACAAAACCCACCCCTACCCGAAGCACTTCCTCTCGCCAACAGACATGCTCAATCCCAAGGCTCAGGTCCATCCTCTTAATTATGTAAATAAGGGGTTAAACTTGTGCGCTTCTAACAGACCTGTCCAACTCAGAGCGTGAGGAGCTGGACTGATCCAGACCAGCACCCCACACTTACCTTGGCTCCACCAATCACCTGGCTGGGCCTTCAGAAATGCCTTTAAAAGCCCTCCAGAAATGGGGTTCAGTGGTGGAGTGCTTGTCTAGCATGTGCCCCTGCACCACATAAAAATAAAGATATTGTGTCCAGGAAAAAAAAAACAGAACAAAACAAAAAATCAACAACAAAGAACAGCCAGGGTTCCCCTTCTTTGGAGCCCTTCTTTACTGCAGGATCCTTTTTCTGCTTCAAATAAATCTTGCTACTCTACCTTCCACCTGTCTGTAGATCTCATTTTTTGAATTTGCAAGACAAAAAAAACCTCACCTGATATCATGTTCCATGTTACAGGAATAAGTCTAAAAAAATAAAGAATCAAATATGACAAGGTACGGTCATGCACACCTATAATCCCAGTGACTCAGGGGGCTGAAGCAGGAGGATCACCAGTTTGGCCAACCTCAGGAACTTAGCAAGGTCTTAAGCAGCTTAGTGAGATCCTGTCTCAAAATTAAAAATAAGAAGGTCTGGGGATGTGACTTAGTGGTAAAGCACCCCTGGGTTCAATCCCCAGAACAACAACAACAAATGTAAAAGGATCATATTCTCAAAAGAGAGAAGCTCTGATTGAGTGAATAACCCAAAATCCAGCTATATACTGCTTTTAGAAAATACATATATGGCAGGGCATGGTGGCATATGCCTATAATCCCAGCAACTCAGGAGACTGAGGCAGGAGGATTGATAATTCAAAGCAAGCCTCAGCAATTGAGCAAGGCACTAAGCAACTCAGTGAGACCTGTCTCTAAATACAAAATAGGGCTGAGGATGTGGCTCAGTAGTTGAGTGCCCCTCAGTTCAATCCCTGGTGCCCGGAAGTTACCAATTACCTGGTGTAAATCTTTATTTGCAACATTATTTTGAAAAGTATAAAGGAAAGAGTGGAATCAATGAAGAAAATGATAGTTCCACAATCACAATGGAACATATACACCGATCTCAGAATCAACTGGTAAAGAAGACAAAAAAGATTTGAATAGCCCAATTAACAATAAAGGTCTATCAACAACTTAAAAAAAAACAAGTTTGATCTAGAGAACATTCCTCCTTACCAAGTACATCTTCTTTCAACAGACACCCCCATATTTTATTCCTGAATCACTTTTTATTCCTGAAAAGTAAGACCAACTATTGTGGTTTAGATTTTGAAATGAAATTGTTTCCACTGTTTGTGAATAAAACTGCTGTCAACATTTGTGTACAAATCTTTGTTTGGAATAAATCTTTTTTTTTTTTTTCATCTTACTAGAGATTAAACCCAGGGCTGTGCATATACCAGGAAAGTGCTTTACCATTGAGTTACTCCCCAAGTCCTTTTTAATTTTATTTTGAGCAGGGTTTCTCTAAAATGCAGAGGCTGGCCTCAAACTTGTGACCCTCCTGGGTATCAGCCTCCTGGGTACCTGGGATTATAGGTGTGCAACACTGCTCCCAGCTGTGGAAGAAATCTTTCTATTTTAATTTCTCTTGGGTAAATACCAAGAATGGAATTGTGGAATCATATGGTAGAAGTATGTTTGACTTTTTTTTTAGAAACTACCAGTTTTTCAAAATGATTTTTCTAATTAGAAAACAACATACTGCTTTCTTTTTCTTTCTTTTTTGGTTCTGGGGATTTAACCCAGGGGTGCTTTACCTCCGAGATACATCCCCACCCCTTTTTATTTTTTAATTTTGAGACAGAATCTCCGTAAGTTACTTAGAGCCTCGCTAAGTGGCTGAGGCTGGCCTCCAACTTGCAATCCTCCTGCCTCAGCCTCCCGAGCCACTGGGATTATGCTCATGTGCCATCATGCCTGGCAATCTACTGCTTTCTTATGTTGTTATTGCAGGTTGTTATTTAACTATATCACTGTTACCCAACTTTTCTTTTGCCTATGCTGTTTTTTTCCAACTGGATTTCTACAAGTTCATGAGAAGCAAAATCCATGGTTATACTTCTCTGTGGTCTTTTGTGTTTACTATAACGCTGTGTACATACAAGGCACTCAATAAATTTGTGTGTGTGTGTGCGTTTTGTTGTTGTCATTATTTGTTTGGGGATTTTCTTTTTTTCTTTCTGTATGTGTGTCAGGGGAGGGGACAGAGTCTTTCTATGTTTCCCCAACTGACCCCAAACTCCTGGACTCAAGTGATTCTCCAGCCTCAACCTCATAAGTAGTTGGGACTACAACTGTTCATCGCCACACCCAACTTGAAATAAATATTTTTGAATGATCATTTATTTATTTAACTGGTGCTGGGGAGGGAACCCAGAACCTTGCACATGCTAGACACACACTGTACCACTGAGCCCAGCCTCAGCCCCTTGCATAATTATCAAACTATTAGAATGTCTTCAGTTTACCCCCCAAGGCTGGGGAGGGAACCGAGGGCCTCATACATACTATGTAAGTGCACTACTAACTGCATCCCCAATCAGGTCTGCAATATACTTTTTTTTTTTGGTACCAGGAATCAAACCCAGGGTGCTTTTCCACTGAGCCACACCCCAAGCTCTTTATTAAAAAAAAAATTTAGAGACAAGGTCTCACTGAGTTGCTTAGGACCTTGCTATTGCTGAGGCTGGCTTTGAGTTCAAGATCCTCCTGTCTCAGCCTCCTGAACTGCTGGGATGACAGGCATGTGTCGCCACATCCAGATGCAATATACTTTAAATGACAAAACATCTTTTATTTTACTCTGGAAGATTGCTAATATAATACCATTCTCTTGAAAGTAGAATTCAACATCAAGAACTCACTGTAAGAGCCTAGCATGAACTCATTGAAGGCAGTAAGGCTGCATTCTAGTTGCCTACACTGTGTCTAGTCTACTTTCTCTCCTTATTAAAAACACTGATTTGGGGCTGGGGTTGCGGCTAAATTTTAAAGTAATTCTTCCATTTAATTCTTAAAACAAAAACAAAAACAAAAACAAAACCCTCTGATTTGTTCAAAGTGCCCACCTGAAAACACAGAGCCTACCCATCCCCGTGAAGCTATGGATAACCATGTAATACAGTGCAGGTCAATGTATAAGCGGAAGTCCCAGGCCTAGAGGATTCTAGGAAAGTTTGTTCAATGGAGAAGACTCAGCTGGGAAGCCTTTCACCTATTGGCTTTACCTTTTTGCTTTTTTTCTTGCCTGGAATGCTGATGTAAGTTCCAAATATTGAGAAGGTTCAGCAGCCATTCTGCAAGCATGAGGAAATAAATCATGTACTACAGATATGAGAAGGGAAAGATAGAAGGAGTCTGGGTTTCTAATGGCATCATGGAGTGGCTGTCTAGCCTTAACTGCCCATTCCCAGACCTCAAGTTATGTAAAAAATTTAAATACCATGGCATCTGGGGTGTGTGCGTGTGTGTGTGTGTGTGTGTGTGTGTTAGCTCCCTGGGGTGGTCTACTACTGAGCCAGTTGCTGGGATTTTAGGTGTGCACCACTTGCCTGGACAGTATTGGGGTTCCTGTTACCAGTATTTTTTTTTTTGGTACCAGGATTGAACTCAGGGGCCCTTGACCACGGAGCCCCATCCCCAGCCCTATTTTGTGTTTTATTTAGAGACAGGGTCTCACTGAGATGCTTAGGGCCTCACTTTTGCTGAGGCTGGCTTTGAACTTGCGATCCTCCTGCCTCAGCCTCATGAGCCACTAAGATGACAGGCGAGGGCCTCCGTGCCTGGCTGACCAGCACTTTTACCTGCCACATTGTTCTCATGAGTAGGTTACCAGCAGTGCTGAGGGACAAGCAGGGCAACAGGAAGGGGGTGGGGCCCAGAGACATAACTTTTTATCGGTAGCACTTTTTTCTAATACCAGGAAAACATATGAGTCATTTAGTGTCACAGGGTCACTGCTCAGGAAAACTGAGGTTCAAAGGGAAGACACAACGAGCTCAAGGCCAGGGTCACCTTTCCAGTTTCTCGGTCCCACCCTGCAGTCCTCCTATTTTCCTGGAATGTGCTTTCCTCCTTATTTTTCCTGGCAAATCCTGTTTCTTCTTTCTTTTTTTTTAAAAATACTTATTTATTTATTTAGTTAGTTAGTTCTCGACAGACACAACATCTTTGTTTGTATGTGGTGCTGAGGATCGAACCCGGGCCACACGCATGCCAGGCGAGCGCGCTTCCGCTTGAGCCACATCCCCAGCCCCCTGTTTCTTCTTTCTTTTAAAAGTTTCTCTATCTCAGCATCACTGACATGTGGGGCTGCACAATTCTCTCTCTCTCTCTCTCTTTTATTTTTCAGTGCTGGGGATCAACTCAGGGTTTCCTGCAGGCCAGGCAAGTGCTCTGCCACCGAGCCACATCCCCAGCTCTGTCACATAAGGTAATGAGCAACATCCTGGGGCCTCTACCCACCCCATTCCAGCGGCACGCTCCCCACCCCAGTTGTGATAACTGAGATCATCTTCAGACACTGCCGAGCTTCCCAGGGAGCCCAGAGGTCCCCCAGTGGAGACTCGGGGCTCCACACTGACATCCCTCCAATCTGTGCCTGTCCAGTTCCCAGGCAGCTCGCGATGGCTTTGCCGCTGGGCGCTGGTGGGAGCAGGCTCACCATCTGTGACTGCGTGTGACACTGGGAGGACTTTCAGGCTGACTCGTTTCTGCATCTCCCTGATGATGGATGAAAGAGATTTTTAAACTGGTTCAGGAGAAGAATGGGAAGAGAGTTCAGGAATTCCGTCTTCTGGAAGCCATGATTTACTTGTCTGGTTGGTTTTTGGTGCTAGGGATTAGCGCCTGCTAGGCAAGCATTCTCCCCAGCTTCCTTCCAGCCCATTTTTCTTTCTTTCATTTTTTTCTTTTGGTACAAGACATTGAACCCAGGGCCCTCGGCCACTGAGCCCCATCCCAGCCCTGTTCTGTGTTTTATTTAGAGTCACGGTCTCACTGAGTGGCTTCGTGCTTTGCTGTTGCTGAGGCTGGCCTTGAACCCGCGATCCTCCTGCCTCAGCCTCCTGAGTGGAGTGGGGATGACAGGCGTGTGCCACCGCGTCGTCTTGAGACAAGCTCTCACTGCGTTGCCCAGACTTTCCCCAGGCTCCTGGGTTAGAGCAGTGCTCCTCCTTAACCTCTCAGTAGCTGGGAGGACAGGCGTATGCCTCAGTGCCCAGCCCAGGGCCCTGATTTTGACATTCACTGTTAAAGGCTCACGTGTCCCGCGCTTTTGCTTGGAGTCGCGTTTTATCCATTCCCAGGCTTTCGTGAAGAGGCAGATTCTAGTAGGGACATGTCACACTGTTCCTGGATCTAAATGTACCCATTGAAATGGAAAAAGAGAGGAAAACGTTTAGAGCAACATCTTACAGAGAAAGAAAGGAAAAAAAAAAAAACTCTTAAATGATCCAGGAGAGAGCGAAGGGCAAATTCTGGGTGGGTGTTTTTGTTTCCCTCCTGGAATGAAAGTTGGGTCTTGATCTTGCGGGAAGTGCTGAACATGCTCCTTTCACTTCCCGTTCCCTTGATGTCATCATCGTTTAAATGATCAGGGTACAAGTACCACAAATGCAGAAACCGACTAGCTGCCTAGGACCTCATTACCTTCTGTAAATGGACAAAGTCATTTTGGACTAGTGATTCTACTGTGTTTAATTATTTTATTTAAATATTTGTGGTGCTGAGGATTGAACCCAGGGCCTTGTGCATGTGAGGCAAGCACTACCAACAGAGCTGTATCCCCAGCCCCAATTATTTTATTTTATTTTATATTTTGGTATTGGGGATTGAACTCAGGAGCCCTCAACAACTGAGGCACATCCCCAGCTCTATTTTGCATATTATTTAGAGACAGGCTCTCACTGAGCTGCTTAGGACCTCACTTTTGCTGAGGCTGGCTTTGAACTCTTGATCCTCCTGCCTCAGCCTCCCAAGCTGCTGGGGCTACTGTGTTTAATTTTATTAGTATGTTTTTATTGACTGATTGATTGATTGATACTGGGGACGAACCAGGGGCACTTTACTGCTGAGCTACATCTCCAGTCCTTTTAACTTTTTAATTGAGATAGGATTTCACTACGTAGCTGAGGCTGGTCTCAAACTTGCAATTCTCCTGAGTCATTGGAGTTACAGACCCGTGCCACCATGCCCAGCAGTATCTAATTTTATTTTTCTTTGAAGTGCTGGGGATGCAACCCAGGGCCTTATCCCTATTAGACAAGTTCTCTACCCCTGAACTACATCTCCAGACTTAGCATTTCTTAAAGAAGGACCTTTAGGAACCATTTAGTAACATTGAGATGGCTGGTGTACGGGCAAGAAATCCTCCTGCTCATATGGACAGACACTCTCCTCAGTCTTGTGGCTGCTAACCCCTTTCTGGAAAATGTTGCGACACTTCCTGCAGTTCCCTTGTGCATATTAGGGTTCTAAGAAATTCAATCCACCTCTGGTTTCTGCAAAATGCAGCAGGTCACTTGTACAGTCAATCAAACAGGGACTAAATGGCACGACGACAAATAGAAAAGTTTCACCTGAGAACTGCGAAGACGTCACTCTGTCTCTCTCCTCCACTTGGCAAGGACCAGAGCTTCAAATGGCTCTGTGCTGGGTTTTGTCTTTTTAAGAAGCACACACTCTATTGCTGGTAACTATTCTTTATTTCCAAGTTTAAAAGCAGCAAAGGAAACAAGTTTTATCTTGTTTGAAAGAAGTTTAAGTGCTCCAGGCTCCCATCTCTTCCCTTCTAGGAGAAAAAAAATCAGTTCACTGGTATTGAAATTTTTTAAACAAAAGTGTGTGTTTGTTTTTGGGTTTTTTTTTTTTTTTTTTTTTGGCACCAGGGATTGAACTCGGGCCCTTGACCCCTGAGCCCCACCCCCAGCCCTATTCTGTATTTTATTTAGAGACAGGGTCTCACTGAGCTGCTTAGGGCCTCGCTGTGTCTGAGGCTGGCTTTGAACTCAGGATCCTCCTGCCTCAGCCTCCCGAGCCGCTGGGATGACAGGTGTGTGCCACTGTGCCCAACTTCAAATAAAGTTTTGATTTTGACATCATTTAAATATACAGAGAAGGGGCTGGAGATGTGGCTCAAGCGGTAGCGCGCTCGCCTGGCATGCGTGCGGCCCGGGTTCGAGCCTCAGCACCACATACAAACAAAGATGTTGTGTCCGCCGAAAACTAAAAAATAAATATTAAAATTCTCTCTCTCTCAAATAAATAAATAAATAAATAAATAAACAGAGAAGTTGCAAAACTAGGGTGGAGAGAGGACAGTTAATGGGTAGGGTGCGGTTGGATGAGAGGGATAACTTGAAATGTTCTGTAGCACAGAAGGAGAACTGTGGATGACACCAGCTAACTGAATATTTCAAAATGTCCAACAGAGGATTTTGAGTGTTCCCAACACAAAGAAAGAATAAATGTTGGAGGTGATAGGTATTTTAATCACCCCAACCTGATAATTACACACTAGATGCATGCATTGAAATGTCATGCTGTACCCTATAAATTCATAATTGTTATATGTCAAATTAAATATTAAAAAATATATATATATATTTTAGGTGTAGATGGACACAACACAAAAATGCCTTTATTTTCATGTGGTGCTGAGGATCTAAACCCAGTCCCGCCTGTGCTAGGAGAGCGCTCTACCGCTGAGCCACAACTCCAGCCCCCAAATTAAATATTTTTAAAGTATTTTCTAATGTTGCCAAGTGAGCCAGGCGTGATGGCACGCACCCGTAATCCTAGTGACTCAGGTAACTAAGGTGGGTGGATCAAAAGTTCAAGGCCAGCCTCAGCAATTTAGCAAGACCCTGTCTCAAAATTTAAAAGTTAAAAAAAATTTTTTTTAGTTGTAGGTGGACACAATGCCTTTATTTTTATTTATTTATTTTTATGTGGTGCTGAGGATCAAACCCAGTGCTCCGCACATGCTAGGCGAGTACTCTGCCACACAACCCCAGCCCCCAAATTAAAATTTTTTAAAAGGGCTGGGGATATGGCTCAGTGGGGGAAAAAGTTTGCTAAGTGAGTACAGAGAATTCCCACATACCCCTCACTCATCTCCAGGGTCCCCTAATGTTATCAGCTTACATTATTGTCGTCCATTTGTCAAAAACCAAGAAATCAACACTGACACATTGCTATTAATTAAACCAGCCTTTGTGTGGATTTCTCCAGGTTTTCCCTAATGTCTTTTTTCCTTTTTTGTACTGGGGATTAAACCCAGGAGCACTTAACCATGGAGCCACATCCAGAGCTCTTTTTTATATTTTATTTACAGACAGGGTCTTACTAAGTTGCTTAGGGTCTCACTAAGTTGCTGAAGCTGGCCTCCAACTTTCAATCCTCCAGACTTAGCCTCCTGAGTTGCTGGGATTATGGGAGTGCTCCATGGTACCCAGCTTAATATCTTTTTTCTATTCCAGGATCTGGCACTGGTTTTGATTGCTTAGGTTCTGGGTAGAGCATTTGTTTTGGAAAAAATGTTCTGTGATTAATTTCAGTAAACAGTATTTATCTGAAGAGCCAAACGGACTGAAATTTACCTTCTCAGCCCACAAAGACACTGCCTTAGGTAATGCTGGGAGTTTTGCACAACCTGTCTTCAGGGAGACTGGATTTCCTGAGAGTGGCCTAGGGATTCTCAGCATAGGGAAAAGAGAAAAAGAGAAGAATTCTTCCCTTTATTTATAACTGACTTTGCACATCTAATATTCATGTGGAAAAAGACTGCAAACCATATTTTTTTAGTTCTTTCATAATTTTTTTTATGAAAACACCCAGAATTTATGTGGTTTCAAGAGTCAGCTGGGTAAATATAGACCAAACTCTGGTTTGGTGAATAAAAGGGATATGAGAAGAGAAAAGTTTCAGGGTTGGAGGAGGAAGTAGAATTGAATCTAAATCCCAGAGGACCCTGGAAGAGACCTTCCATCATCCGTCTGTTCATCTTCCAATCGTACACCATATGTCTGTCACTGCAAGATGGGGGCAGGGAATGTTTGAATGCGAAATGATGGATTCGGGTAGGTTTTCAGCTGTAGTTAAAAACACACTAGTTGGATAACCTTGAATGAGTTGCTCAATCTTCCTGAGACTGTTTCCTTGGCTGTAAAATGAGGATTGAGGGTTTTTTTGTTTTGTTTTGTTTTGTTTTTTGTTGGTTTGATTTTTGTTTGGTTTTGGTACCAAGGGTTGAAGCCAGGGAGCATAACCACTGGGCAATATCCCCAGCATTTTTTCTTTTTCTTTTTTTTTTTTTGACAGGGTCTTACTAAGTTGTTTAGAGCCTTGCTAAGTTTCGAAAGCTGGTTTGAACTTTTGATCCTCCTGCCTCAGGCTCCTAGGTAGCTGGGATTACAGGTGTGCCCCACCACACCTGGCTAAAATTGAGTATCTAATAAGATAATGTATTTAGCACAGTGCTTGACATAGAGAAAGCACATGATATAACTGTTATAATCATTGTTACTGTTATTATTACTTTATTGCCAAAGGTATTCCACCCTAATGCCAACAAACTTTTTCAAACTCTTCTTAAACTATCATTAGTCTCATCTGCATATGTAGATATTCAGGAGCCAAGAATTTTGAGGGTTCTCAGTCTAAGTGGAACAATGGTGTATCCAAGTTCTTTTTTTTTTTTAAGAGAGAGAGAGAGAGAGAGAGAATTTCAATATTTATTTTTCAGTTTTCAGCGGACACAACATCTTTATTTGTATGTGGTGCTGAGGATCGAACCCAGGCCGCACACATGCCAGGCGAGCGCGCTACCGCTTGAGCCACATCCCCAGCTCCCGAGTTCTTAAAGTATGTCTAAGAAGTGGGGCACAGGGCTGGGGCTGGGGCTCAGTGGTAGAGCACTTGCCAAGCACACGTGAGACACTGGGTTCAATCCTCAGCACTGCATAAAAAAGATAAATAAAAATAAAGGTTGGGCTGGGGATGTGGCGCACAGTGGTGTGCCCCTGTGGTCCCAGTTACTCAAGAAGCTGAGGGAGAAGGATCTCGTAAGCCCAGGAGTTTGGGGCCAGCTTGGGCAACAGAGTGAGATCTCATTTCTTTAAAAAATAAAATGAAACTGGGAGCAGTGGCGCCTGCCTGTAATCCCAGGGGCTGGGGAGGCTGAGGAAGGAGGATCACAGGTTCAAAGCCAGCCTCAGCAATTTAGCAAGGCCCTAAGCAACGCAGCAACCCCCTGTTTCAAAATAAAATATAAAAAGGACTGGGGATATGACTCAGTGGTTAAGCACCCCTGGGTTAAATCCCAGGCACCAAAAAAATAAAATGAAATGAAATAAAATAAAATAAAGTCTAAGTAAATATGAATTTTGATCATCGGTCCCAAGCAAGGGTGAGGTCCGTGAAACAGCAAACAAGTCAAAGTGATGGACACCAGATGAGTTTTCTCCAATTGCCCCCTCCCCCACCTGAGAACAGAATGCCTGCCTGGCCTCCGGGTGGACCAGACCCTGAGACAGGCTGCCAATTAGCTGCCCTGTTACTGTGGCCTGAAATAAAATTCCCAGCAGAGGACTACAAACATTTGCTGAACACACAGACCTGTGACCTGTGGCTGCAACTGCAGGATTCCAGGGGAGGGGTTTGGATTGCACCATCACTGTGGGTCGGTGGCTCCAGGCGGCTGTCACATCTGGGAAAGAGGAGGAGGTTGTGATCTGCAGTTTTAAAATGCGATTCTGTGCCTAGCATGCTCAAAAACCTGGGTTTCATCCCCTGCATGACAAATAATAAAGTTTCTTTTAAAATGACACTGTTGTTTTATACAATGATCATTTTCAGCCAGGCGCCATGGTACACATCTGTAATCCCAGTGACTCTGGAGGCTGAGGTAGGAGGATTGCAAGTTGAAGGCCAGCCTCAGCAACTTAGTGAGGCATTAACCTTCTCAAGAACTCTTTTTTTCCCCCGTTGTTATTTGTTTTTATGGGAAAAGGTGGAAATGTGTGTGAAAACAGCCGAGGAGCCTGCCTGGAATACAGGAAAGAGTTTAATGTTTATAATTCAGGGCTCCAGGACAAAGGTGGCCTGTCCCCATCTGACTTCACTTTGGGAAATAATGCTGAGATATGGAGAGGAGGTGACAGAAACTAGAAGGAACCCCTGTTTGAGACATCCACCTGCTCAGAAACAGCCCCTCAGCTCACAGGAACTGCACGAGTCGGTGTCTGGAACACATGCAGGCTCAGAACCTCTGGCTCAGAACCTCGGAAAGGGCTCCTTGGGGGCTCTGTACAGAGGGCGCAAGCGCAGAAGAAACAGGCGAAGATTCTCTGATAACCCACAGACACCTGCAAGAAGGACGGGGTCCTTCAGATTCACCCGCCAGGTGACCTCGTTCCTTGGCAACTCCAGTGGTCTATGAATATAATTTTTTTCTTACCTTCTAGAACATAAAGGGGTAAAGAAGTAGCTGGCCCGTTCACAGCTTTGGATGGGAATAAACATTTTGCATATTAAAAATTTTCTGCAGGGCCCTGAAAAATCAGATTTGGCCAGGTGCAGGGGAGCACACCTGTGATTCCAGCCACTCAGGAGGCTGAGGCAGGAACATCCCAAGTTGAAGGCCAGCCTCAGCAACTTAACCAGACCCTGTCTCAAAATTTTAAAATAAATAAATAAATAAAAAGAGCTGGGATGTAGCTCAACAGAAGACCTGGGTTCAATCCCCAGTACTACCAAAAAGAAAGAAAAAAAAAAAACCCAGATTTGCTCAGGATTGCTGAAAGTGCTTCATCTAAATTTAATTCAAAAATATTGGATGTCAGTGGCTCAGGAGGCTGAGGTAGGAGGATCGTGAGTTCAAGGCCAGCCTCAGAAATTTAGCAAGGCCCTAAGCAACTCAGGGAGACCCTGTCTCTAAATAAAATATAAATAATGGCTGGGGATGTGGCTCAGTGGCTGAGAGCCTCTGGGTTCAATCCCCGATACTCATAAATAAATAAATAAATTAAATTAAATATTGACGTCTTCCCTAATCTCTCTCCCTTTTTTCTCTTTTTCATAGGGCATCTGGCCCCACTCCCCTACCTTTGATCCAGTGTTCCACACACACCCCAGGAGCTGAAGGGAGGGGGAAGATGACGTATTGACCTGAGTTTCTCCTGAATGCTCCCCTGCACCTGTGCTCACGGCTGCACATTCGGTGCTTTCTGACTTGGTGTTCAGGGTAAATAAACTGGTATTTCCAGCATCCTGATCAGCGTCCCAGCCAGCAGGCCTTGGTTGGAGGTCATGCATTCATCCTGCACACGGTGCTGCCTTTATGCTGCTCTCCGGGAGGAGTAGCTAGAAGACGAGTCCCGTAGACAGTTCCGGTGCAGAATAACCAGACCCAGCCATCACAGGGCCATCGGGGAAGGCTTCATAAAAGAGGACGTGTTTGCGTGGACTTTGAAGGATGGATAAGGGCTTACACAGGATTTAGCTCTGTTTTCCCTCCTGTCTCCCTTTTCCCTGCTAAAAAAGCTAGATGCCACCTGGCACCTGGGATAAAATCTCAATAAGGAAATAATGTTTATCTGGTGCCAAAAATGACCTGAAAGTGACCATATATTATATATAAAACCTTTAACACCTGCTACTGTGCCCAAGACAGTGTAAGACCCTTCTGAATTTCTGCATTCTGATTTTAACTGTCTCTTTCCCTTTCCTACCCTCATATTTATTTTTTGAGAAGTATGAAGCCCCAGAATAATAACAGGAGAGGACGGGGCAGGTGTATGACAGGGAAAGAGAGTCTATCCTAACCCTTCTTGCTTCTTTTTTTGGGGGGACACTGGCGATTGAACTCAGGGGCACTGGACCGCGGAGCCCCATCCCCAGCCCTATTTTGCATTTTATTTAGAGACAGGGTCTCACTGAGCTGCTTAGGGCCTTGCTGTTCCTGAGGCTGGCCTTGATCTTGTGATCCTCCTGCCTCAGCCTCCTGAGCTGCTGGGATGACAGGCGTGTGCCACCACACCTGGCTCCCACCCCTTCTTTTAGCTTTAAATTCTGCATTGTCCCCACTTCTCTGCTTTGAGGGTCTCCCTAGAGCAGTGGGAGGGAACACTGGGTCTCTGGGCCTGGGCAGCACTGTTGCTCTCCCTGGAATCCCAGGGGAGGTTACCTCTTGGGGTAGGAGACTGAGATGGAACCCAAGCTTGCTCCCTGCCCCTGTCCTCCTCTTCGCTTTGCACAACCAGAAGGCGGACCTTTCAGTATTATTCTTCTCTCTGCAGCCCAATTGGCTTGGCAACAATAAATCCATATTTCCTCCTTGGCATTTCTTTAGATGTGTACTGCTTGGCTTCAAAACTCAAAAGGAAGTTGCCTGGCGGTAGGCCTTGAACCGCTTGCCTTCTGGCCTTGGTCACTGGCTTGACGGGTGTCACCGAGTCTCCTGGGAGAGATGGCAGCTGATGAAATCCCAAAGGCCCTGAACCTCCCTTCCAATGAATGCTCTTATTTGCAGATCCGGGTTCAGAACAGGAACTGCGGTTGGAAATTGGTCAGGAAGGTAGAGCTACCGAGGGAGCAGGTTTGCTTCCAGCTGCTTCAGAAAGAGAGAAAGTCCATCTGGTTTTGCAGATTAAAATCTCCCTTGTTTATGAACTATTTCTAAAAGTTCTTGGAGTCCATTTCCAGGAAGAAGCTAGGAAATCAGAGTAGCAGAGAACACGAAGCCCTGTTTCGGTCTGCTTTACTCTAAAGCATCCTTATTTGTAAAGAGACACCCACGTGGATGCGTGACCTGAATATTAGGAACAGTGGCTAATGAAGCTTGATGTGAGCCATGTACTGTCTGAACCCTCACATCCATCCGGGCTCTCTTTTATTTCTGTAAGTTAGGAACTGGCTCTGTTTCCCAGAGAAGGGAGATGAAGCCTGGAGAGGTTAAGGCCAAGGTCAAGGTCACACAACTAGTCAGTGGTAGAATGGAGGTTCAAATCTAGATCCCTGGTTAGACCTTGCTCAGTGCCCTGGAGTTTACACACGCATGAAAAGAAGCCAGTTCCACTGTTCCTGAGATGTGACCCTTCTCAGGTACACCTCCAATTTGCTCTTTATTCCTTTTTTTTTTTTCCTGCTTCTTTCTCTGCTGGGAATCAAACTCAGGGCCCTGCACATGCTAAGGGAGCACTCTACCACCGAGCTCCGCCCCCAGCCCCTGATTTCATTTTAAGAGACAGAAACTGAAAACTCAAGTCGGGGCATCTGAAAGCAGCAAAAATATGTTCCTCTCGGTCTTTGTTCCCATTCCTTGGTTGGGAGTGTAGATTGGTGGGGCCTCGGTGACATTTACTTTGCAAACAACAGCCCAGAAACCAGGCCGAGTCCACACCTCACTGAGTAAATAGCACAGGGAGGCCCTGGCAGGGCTCGCCAGCTCCCAGGAGAGAGGAGCAGGAGAATGTAGCCATGACAGGGGGTGTGGGACCCAGAGCTCTGGTCCCAGTGATGCCATCATGAGCACCTCGCCCTTCCTGACTCCAGTGTGGAGGAAACCAAGTCGACTGTGTCTGTGGTCCAGGCTTCAGGGGCAGTTCACCTGGGCAGTGCAGTGGGTGGTCAGGTACCAGACGGTGGAGTTCATTGCGAGGTTCAAGTTTGAGATTCACCCCTTACAAACTCTGTGATCCTAGACTCATCTTTAACTTTTCAGAGCCTCTTTTTTTCCTATCGGAAACCAAGGTTAATAGTAGGACCCACCTCCTGGGGGTATCAAGAAGTTAGAGTTAGAAAGACTTACAGAGGGTGGGGGCGGTGGCGCAGTGGTAGAGAGCTCTCCTAGCACGTGTGAGGCCCTGGGTTCGATCCTCAGCACCACATAAAAACAAACAAATGAAATAAAGGTACTGTGCCCAACTACAACTACAAAAAAATAAAAAATAAAAAAAAGAAGGGCTGTGGGGTAGCTCAGTGGTAAAGTGTCCCGATGTTCAATCCCCAGTATAGCAAAAACAAAAAACAACTATTAATGATTCCCGAATTCTGCAAGTATGCGCTGAATGCCCGCCACATAGAGGGCTCTGTGTTAGCTCCAAAGACAATAAAAGATACTCACATGGACTTTGTCTTGAAGGTTTCACAATCTAGTAGGAGGTGCACACAAATTGACAATGGCATGAAAGGAACAGTCACCCGTGAGATTAGGAGCCTGCTCTTCTGAGACCCCAGGAATTTCTCCAGAGACCTGAGCATCGCAAGTCACATGGGAGAAGGTGGACCTTGTGATTGCCCGTAGCACATTTTCAGGATCATCTTGAGCAATCTACACAACTTCCCGGACCAGTTTCCTTCCTGTGGTGGTTCTGTGTGTCAACCTGGCCAGGCATAAGTCCCAGTTATTCAATTAAATTCTAATTCAAGTGTGCCATGAAGGTAATTTGTAGATGTGGTTAATACCTACAATCAGTCGACTTTAAGTCAAGGAGGTAACTGAATGGGCCTCTTCCAGTCATGAAAAGGCCTTCTTCAGCCGGGCTCGGTGGCACATGCCTGTCATCCCAGTGGCTGGGGAGGCTGAGGCAGGAGGATCACGAGTTCAAAGCCAGCCTCAGCAAAAGCAAGGCCCTAAGCCACTCAGTGAGACCCTGTCTCTAAATAAAATACAAAATAGGGCTGGGGATGTGGCTCAGTGGTCGAGTGCCCCTGAGTTCAATCCTTGGTACCAAACAAACAAACAAACAAAAAGGCCTTCTTCATTCAGAGCAAAACTGAGAATTCTCCCAAAAGAAGAATTTCTGTCTCTTCTGCTGATGGTCCTAGCCTGCTGGTCTGTCCTGTAGGCTTCAGACTTGCAGCTTCCACAATCACATAAGCCAATTCCTTGAAGTTTACTTCATCTAGATCTACATCTGTCTCCCACTGCCTGCTGTCTCTGATACTTCCTCTTCCCCTGCCAACTGTCTCAGACCTCATCTGCCTCCTGGTCCTATTTCTTTTTCTTTTTTTTCCTTGGGGGTGGGGTACCGGGCATTGAATTCAGGGGCACTTGACCACTGAGCCACATCCCCAGCCCTTTTAATATTATATTTAGAGACAGGTCTCACTGAGCTACTTAGCACCTCATTCTTGCTGAGGCTGGCTTGGAACTTGCGATCCTCCTGCCTCAGCCTCCCAAGCTGCTGGGATGACAGGTGTGCGCCACCACATCCAGCTTCCTGGTCCTATTTCTTTCTTTCTTTTCTTTTTTAAAAATATTTTTTAGTTGTCAAAGGATCTTTATTTTATTTATTGATATGTGGTGATGCTGAGAATCGAACCCAGTGCCTCACACATACCACTGAGCCACACCCCAGCCCTCCTGGTCCTATTTCTACAACACCCAGTTATGAAAGTACAGGAAGTTATGAGACCAGGAAGAAAGCTGAAGGCTGTGGAGTCCTGTCAGTGGGTTTTCAGACAAATGCCAAGCAATTGTTCCTGGTCGTAAAGACTTATGGGTAGCACTTAGGGCTGCCCTATAGGACCGGGATGAGGGTAAGGCAGGTGAGATGTACAGGTGCAGGATTTAAGGAGCAAACCAGAAAATTTAGTAATCAAGATAAATAATATTTGATACAGTATTTTTAAATTAATGCAAAAAAAATCCATGATGAACAAAATAACCAAATTTTAAATAAAGAAGGCAGGGACTAGGGATGGAGCCCAGTGGTAGACTGCTTAGTGGTGTGAACAAGGCCCTGGGCTCAATCCCCAACACTGGTCAAAAAGAAAGAAAAACCATGAACCATTAAGCTGGGCATAGTGCCACATGCCTATAATCCCAGCAGCTGGGAAAGCTGAGGCAGGAGGATCTCAATTTCAAGGTCAGCCTGGGCAGCACAGTGAAAGCCTGTTTCAAAACAAGTCTGAAAAGGACTGGGATGTAGCTCAAGGGTAAAGTAATTGGTAGCATGCACAAGGCCTGGATTCAATCTCTAGAATGCGGCTGCAGGGAAGAATTAGTATTCCTGGTTTTTCTTTTCTTTGTTTGCTTTTTCAGTACTAGGGATTGAACTCAGGGGCTTTTAACCACTGAGCCACATCCCCAGCCCTTTTTCTGTACTTATTTAGAGACAGGGTCTCACTGAGTTGCTTAGTACCTCACTAAGTTGCTGAGGCTGGCTTGGAACTCACGATCCTCCTGCCTCAGCCTCCTGAGCCACTGGGAAGACAGGCATGTGCTGATTTTTCTTTTCTTTTCTTCATGGTGCCGGGATTGAATCCAGGGCTTCACACATGCTAGGCAAATGCTCTACCCTGAGCTCCACCACCAGCCCTGGGAGCGGGGCTGGTGCTGGTTCTTTTTGCTATCAACTCTGGTATGGATGGCACAACACCCTTGTCCTGAGTCCGCTGGGCTCTCTGTGTTCAAGCTAGAATGGCGAGCTACCCTATGGACCATGTCACTATTGCATAAATGTTTTCCTCTCCCATCAAGACCCACACAGGTGACAGAACTGAGGGGTTTCCTGGGGTGGGGGAGTTTTAGCACTTACATTAGGACAATGCCAACCAGCCAGGATGGTTTGTCACCTCTTCAGAGAAAGAAACAGGGCATTCACCTTAGGTGCCTTTGTCCCCTCCAAGCCACTTGTGAGCACTCAGGGATTATTCTGGACTGAATGTGTCTCTCCAGACAGAGCATCTGGCAGGCACCTGGTCCCTTCCTAATGACTTACACATCTGAAGCACAGAAAAGATACAAGTGACACAGCCAGATACACTGGCCAGTCCCTGTGGCTCCAGCACCAGCCTTATCAGGCTTCTGGAAGTCCTGCTGGATTCCTGCCCACCCACTGAGCTGCCGATTTGAAGCCCCCTAGAGTCCTTGGCTCATTTGCCTAAAACCTTCCTGGGAGGCTGCATGCATTATTATTATTATTATTATTATTTTAAACAACACTCAACCTTTGAGAAGTTTTTTTCATGGCCAGTCACAGTGGCATATACCTGTAATCCCAGTGGCTCAGCTCAGGAGGCTGAGGCAGGAGGATCCTGAGTTCAAAGCCAGCCTCAGCAACAGCGAGGTGCTCAGCAACTCAGTGAGATCCTGTCTCTAAACAAAATATAAAATAGGGCTGAGGATGTGTCTCAGTGGTCCACTACCCCTGAGTTCAATCTCTGGTACAAAAATTTTCAAAAAAAAATTTTTTTTTTAGTTGTCAAGGGACTTTTATTTTATTTATTTATATGCAGTGCTGAGAATTGAATCCAAAGCATCACACATGCTAGGCAAGTGCTGTACCACTGAGCCACAACCCCAGCCCCTGGAAAGTTTTTGTGTTGTGACTTGGACACAAATGATCATTTTGCTTCTAGAATCATTACACTATGCCTTCTGGAACTGGGGACATTCTAGGAAGGTCACTAACTAGGCTAGCTCTGTCACTTGGGTCAAGATCCCTGATGTGTACAACCACAAGAATGGTTGTACTCGATGTATGTATAATATGTCAAAATATACCCTACTGTCATGTATGTCTAAAAATAACAAATAAAACATAAAAAAAGGATCCCTAACTGCTTGGGCTTCTGCTTCCTCAATCTCCAAATGAGAGGCTTGGACCTCTGTGTTCTGGCAGATAGCAGGGTACCTCTATGACCATAAGTGTTCTCATTTATAAAATCAATAACATGATAACTTTTAAGGTAATTGTGATGATTAGGGATGTGGGTTGTGCATATAAACCAACCTGGTATAGCACTTATGGGAGCTCACTTCTTATCTGATTAGTTCTTTTTTTCCCCTTTCCCTTTAGTTCTGCAAAATACAGTGGTTTTATGATACCACTTTTAGAACCAGTAATAACAGATGGTTAATTCTGTGGTTTTTTTTTTTTGTTTTACTTTTAATTGTTTTTGTTTGTTTGTTTATTTGTTTTTGAGATGGGGTCTTGCTTTGCTGTTCAGGTCTCAAAACTCCTGGGCTCAAGCAACATTCCTGCTTCGACCTTCCAAGTAACTAGGACAAGTGTGTGACATTCCAAAAAGCCCAGCTCTTATTCCAAAATTTTTTTATTGTTCACCTAATATGTGCCAAACCACACTATGTAGTAGATGCTAAGAAGATGATACTGACCAAGAACCTGGTTAGAAAATGTCAGAAATTGTCCAAAACAACCCAGCAATTTAAAAAAAAAATTAGCAGAAGGATTCATGAAGCCAGGCATGGCAGCTCACACACCTGTAATCCCAGCTGCGGGAGAGGCTGAG